AGTCGTCCCGAGCTTTCTTTCATTATTTTCAATTTTCTTGTTTTTTTTTTTTGTTTCATTCGCACACCCCTCTCTCTCTCTCTCTCTCTCTCTCTCTCTTTCTATGAGTTATTTTGTTGCTCGACACAATCAATATAATCACGATAATTCTTGATATTTTTTTTTTGTTGTTTATTTTTTTTTAACCACAATAGTAAAAGCATTATAAGCTATACAGCTACCATTCTTTATCTACAATATAGTTTTATTATAATCTTCATCTCTTTTTCTTATTTTATTTTATTTTATTTTATTTTATTTTATATCTTTTATTATGTACTCTCTCTCTCTCTCTCTCTCTTTCTCTTTCTCTCTCTCTCTCTCTCTCTCTCTTTCTCTCTCTTCCCATTTTTCTCAAATATTTGTTGCTTGTGTTACAACGCACCCTTCGAAACCAACCCCCACCTTTCTTTCTATACCCCATTTTTATTCGTTCCTTTCTTTCTTTTTGTTTCATTTCTTTTATTTTTACTTTCTCTCTCTCTCTATTTGTTTTATTTTTTTCTTTTTTTTCTTTGTTTCTCGACAGGCATATACGTAAATTAGTATTTTTTGTTTGTTTTCTTTTTTTTAACGTGTTCAGATTGTGGATTTATCCAACATCGATTATGTTTTTTATTTTTTCTTTCGAATAATAAATTAATTCGCGAGCTTGTGGAACACGACGTATTGTTGACGCCCTTACGTTTTTAGCCCTTTTTTTTTTTTTTTCTTTTTTACTTTTTTTTCTTTTATCTTTTCGTATTATTTCGCAGTGACCAATTTTTTAGACGCAACGAAGGAAATTTCTTTTTTTTTCCTCTCGTATAAATAAAATCCTTTCATCTTCTTCTTCATTATTATTATTATTATTATTATTTTTATGACACTCGAGAACATTACGTGTTCTTTGTTGTTATCTCTCATTAACTTTCCCTTTTTTTTTATCTTTTCAGAAATTAAATTTCATTGTCAAGAAAAATGATTTATTTTCTTTTTTATTTTTTTTTTTTTTATTTTAAAATCTCCGCGAGTTTTGTGATGTAGTAAAATTTACGATTATAATTATAATAATTCTTCGAAGATTATATCCGATAAACGTTTTCTCTCTTTCTGTTCTTATTTCTTTTCTTTTTCTTTCCTCCCACCCCCACCCCACCCAATATTCCTCCTGCTGTATTTTCCTTATTCTTCTTTTTCTCTCTTACATTGTTTGTTTGTTTTTTTGTTTTGTTTATAATATTTATTTAAAACGAGACGATAAGAGAGAGAGAGAGAGAGAGAGAGAGAGAGAGAAATATTCAAGCTGCCTGTAATTAATTATACGTGCGTCTCTTTTTCTGTATGCGTGTGTGTGTGTGTGTGTTTGTTTGTTCGTTCGTTTTGTGTGTTGGTTTCTCTTTTTTCTTTTATCTTTCCTTTTTCTCCCCCCTACCACCCCCACCCATTCCTGGCCACAACTATTTCTTTCTCTTTCTCATTCGTGTGCTCTTTCATCTCGCAAAAAACATTCCTTTAAAACGCGTTTATCTCGTTACTGCAACACACAGCATTTGCATTTAGGCTTCTTCTTTAACGTAACATGCTCGACCTGCGATGCATCACCGGGACCTTGTGCAGTCATTCTTGCAACTTCGACGGTCCTCGAACCTGGGCCAACCTGAAATCGAACGAGGTGTACTAGAATAGTCAATAATTAATATAATAGTGTATAGAATAATACGGTTATACAAATTATTTATTTATTGTATATTTTTTTTTTATATAATATATTATTAAATTAAATATAATTATATGTATATGTTAACGTCAAAGAGCTGGAAAATTAGTCATTGTTAGTAAATTCCACGGCATTATTATGAATGCAAAGAACCTTCAGACCAAGTCGGAAATTTATTTATTTATTTTACGGGATAAACCCACTAGTACAAAAAAAAAAA